GCCGGCCCTCCCTCCGCCCTGCCAGCGGGTGGGAAACGAGGCCTGCGCGGGGGAAGCGGTTGGAGGCAGCTGATGGTGAAGTCATTCTGCGTTTACGCGACTCCAGCTCTTTGTGGGCTATTTGTTACAGGTTAGTGGTCAAGAATGAGTTTGTCGGGATGGTCACTTTGTAATTTAGAGACTTAATGTACCCAGTATTGTTAACCATTCCCTCATGAAATGCTGTCTTCCTTCTTGGCATTACCGCATTCCTCCCGCAGCCTCTCTGTACCCGAGTTCCAAGAGAGATGTAAGCCCTGACGCCCTAAAGCATCCATTGAATGGACTGGGTTGACTTGCTGTGCACCCAGAATGGTACTCTCTGCACTGTCCTTGGGAGGACTGAGAAAGTAGTCACTCAAAGCAGTTTCGTGCTCTGTGGTTCCAGTGAGAACCCAAGATAAGAAAGGCTGCAGGGCTTTGGATGTATCTTTCCTTTGACCTCTTGTTTGAGAAACATAGCGGTAACCCCAACACAGTGCTCAGTCCTTTCTTGGTCATGCTTTTCCTCAACGATCTCCCTCTCTTCCCACCTTCATTAGTTGCTTCTATAAATAGGACTTCCTTGTATATATGTGCAGCTTGGCCCCTCAGCTTGCTCCTTCATCTGCTTGGTGGATACTTTGACATGATTCTTTTGCACTAATCTCACATGTAGCATGCACATAAATAAAAGTAGATCTCTGATCCTATTAATGGTGCCAAGCACTCTCACTTGAAACTTTATTATATCTTTCCTCTCACTTGCCTCCTACCTCTATTTGATCTACGGGATTCTGCTATACAGTTCCAACTCCTCTTTGTATTTTCACCCTCACAGCAGCAGTTGTAATGCTAGTCTGCCTGGTCTCTTACTCTTCCCCCCCAACTGTCCCGCTGCTGTCACATCAGTGCTCCAGGATAAAGCTCCAATCATGACATATCCTTGCTGGGAAGCCTTAATTGGCTCCTAACTACTTACTAAAAGAGCCCAACCTGTTAGCTTGTCACTCAAGGGTCCTCCTAGGCTGGCCACATGGATGTTATAGCTCACTACGGCCTATGTCCCATGCTCCAACTACCTTCTCTGTCCAGAGCAATTTATATTCCCACCTTGCCTCATGCTGCTTCCTTTTCCCGTATGGTATCCCTTCCACTCCTGTCTTCACACCTGCTTACACATTTGGAAATAGCAGCTCTCAGATTGTTGGTATGTGTAAATTGGTGCCATCTCTTAGGCACTCTTGCAGTGTCTATTAGAAATGCATAAATCTTTTGTCCCATCAGTCTGTTTCTGAGAATTTGTCCTATAAAAACAGTGACAGGAATATGCAAAGACAAGCAAGAAAGCTCTCTGCAACATTGTTTGAAATAGCAAATAGTGAAAATATCCTAAGTAGTCATCCATAGGTTTCTTTAGTCTACTCGGGCTGCTATAACAAAGTACCATAGGCTGGGTGGCTTAAACAACAGACATTTATTCTTCACAGATCTGGAGGCTGGAAAGTCTTAGATCAGGGTGCTGGTAGATTAGGTTCTTGGTGAGGCCTGTCTTCTGATCTTGCAGACGGCTGCCTTTCTCACTGTGTCTTCGCATGGTGGAGGGAGAGAATTCTGGTTTTTCTTCTTTTAAGGACAAGAAGCTCATCATGGGGGCCCCCATCCTCATGACCTCATTTAAACCTGATTGCTTCCCAAAGACCCCATCACCAAATACCATTGCATTGAAGGTTAGGCCTTCAGCATGAATTTTGGCAGGGATGCAAACATTCAGTCCAAAACATTACAAAACTGGTTAAACTATGTTAGAATTCTGTTCACTTAAAAAAAATGTAGTAGGTCTATATATGTTAATTTGAAAAGATATATAAAATATATATATATTTAAGAGAAGAGTTGTAGAAGAGCTGTGGAGCAACTGGCAGAAGGATTGCTTTCTCACTACCTGCCAGATCTGCAGAGATCAAAACAAGCCCTCCAGGAATACAAGTAATATTTCATCTGTGATAAAAACAGGGTTTATGCATGGGTATGCAAAGACAGTTTCTTGAAAGCTGTGTGATTGATAGGTATTCATTTTAGACATTTCTGAATGCCTGTCACAATGCTTACACTGCTACTATTCAAAGGAAAAGTGTGACGCAGAATTCTTGGCATCACATCTAGATTTACACACAAAGCATTATACATTATTTTCTATAGTAAATTAAGGTGTTGATCTCAAGAGAGGAGAAATTCATAGGAAATTTCTCTCCTCCTAACAAATGACAAAACAGCCCCCCTGTTTACGTGTAAATAATATATCAAGCTATATGAAAAATAAATGTTGACCCATATTTTTACTTCCATAGAAAGGAAAGAAAATATTTTTAGGAATTGTGTTTAAAACATACATATATACACACATACACATATATATACATATATATATATATCTACATGCTCTTGAAAAGAAGAATTTCTTGCTTTCATTCAGTGACTTTCCCACTTTTAGGTCTCAGACTCCTTTAATAATCCATTGACATCTGTAAATCCTCTGACATAAAAAATACATAAACATACAGAATTGTGCATACATTAATATTCTTTTAATCTAGACTTTATGTTATACTAGTAGTTTAAAAACATGTTTTGAGTGCTCATAATCCATTTTTTAGAGGATGCTCAGAAGGTAAGTTAAAAAAAAGAAGAGAAAGGAAGGAAAAAAGATGAGAAAGGAAGGATCCCTGTACTGCTCTGTGTATGTGCTCTGAACCCCACTGCCAGCCTCCTTCCCTGCCTCCCTACTACTCTTTTATCCCTGTGTCAACTTAAAAGCTTCCTAAATTTGATTTTTGCTTGGCAACAGGTTTAAGTGACACTTCTCCAGATGAAGGGTTAATAGAGGACTTGACTGTAGAAGATAAAGCTGTGGAGCAACTGGCAGAAGGATTGCTTTCTCACTACCTGCCAGATCTGCAGAGATCAAAACAAGCCCTCCAGGAACTCACGTGAGCTAACAAAACCTTGAGATGCACTCATTTCCCCTCTGGTGTAGTTATTTACTGTATAAGTATATACTGTATTAAGGTATAATATTTTGTAATGTTTCAGGAGATGCACTCATTCCCCTCTGGTAGAGTCATCATTTACTGCATAAGTATATACTGTGTTGAGGTATATTATTTTGTAACATTTTATACAATTGAGTATTTCTATATCTTTAGTGATAGCAAATGGGAATGGAGGAGTTCATAGTAATCTAAATATAAAAAGTGAAATGAATACTTCTAGAGTGTTTGGCTTCTAAGAAGTACCCTTCAGTCTTATCTAGACTTTGATTAGTTTTGGTGTCTTAGCATTATTTTATGAAAGTATTGCCTATTGGGAATGTTGCTGGATGGATATATACCTGTTTCTGAGTAGGTTGCAAAATTGCTTCCGTAAGAGTCACATTTGTATTCAATGGCTGGTTCATGAGTTGCCAGGAATCTTTAAGTATCTATTTTTAGAAGGTCCATTTCAGACTCTACTAGCTAAATAAAGGATTGGAGGAACCGTTAAGAGAGGAACAGGATAAAGAAGAATGGAACCTGTAGAGTGGAGTCACTATTCAAAGATATAGACTCGACTTTATCAGCTCCCTGGAACCCAGAAACAGCAGACTGAGTTTCTACTTCCTGAAGGGTCAGGACCTCTCTGGATGGCCTATTTTTCTTTTTGTGATGCTCATCTCTAAAATAGCTCTGGGCTGCTGCTTCTCTAGACCTACACTTTGAAAACTTATCTCAAAAGACTTTATTAGGGCAAAAGGAGAGAAATAATCAACAACGATGTCCATTTTATAAATATTAATAAGTAATGTTATAATCCTTGGATTTGAAGGTGATAAATGAGTCTAAAAGTGGTACTATATTTTACTACATGTGGTACAAATACTGTAGTTAGGGAGTTGGCAAATTCTGGTTTTCTGCTAGTTCTGAGTGAGTTTTTTTTTACCCCTAGTGTGTGTTATGCCTTGCATTTTAACACCAACCAATTCTTGTGGCAAAAAAATAAAAAAGATTTTGCTGGGGAGTTTGGATGAAGTATGACAGACTGACAGAAAGTAAGAAACTGTAAGCAAAACATCTGGGTAACACCTTACTAACAGGAAGCTGGGAGTCATGGATTAATTGCAGAGTTTAATTGGTGAGGACATTGGCTAAAATTTAGTGTTTTGAATATCCCCACTTCCTAGGCATACATACAATGATGATGGTGATGATGGTAAAATCAGCTAGTTTATTACTATATGTACTACATGCCCACCACTTTATATACCATATCTCAATCCTGGCACCTACTTGAAGTATCTAAGATTATCCCTGTTTACAGTGGAAGAAAATGAAGTTCAGAGAGGTTAAGTAACTTGAAAAAGATCACACAGGTAGCGTTGGAATTAACAATTGAATATGATAAATAAGCAGTTATACATCTTGAGTGTTAAGGAAATATAAGCAAATTTCAAAGAAGGGAAAAAGAGAAATGTTTTCCAGTAGCTATTCTTTCATCCATCTCTCCACAAGTTTCACTAGTAATAAAGATGCAGAAGACTAAGAGGCTCCTAGGCCCTAGTCCCGGCTCTCTCATCAAACTGTTTAATCTTCATTAAACCACTTTACCATTATAGAAACAGGCCTGCAGAAGGGAAGGTAAAGGTAGTGGTAGACAGAAATTAAGTTTACTTTGTAGCTAACAATGGATCAGGAAGACCAAGAACAAAGTTTAGCTGTATATATAAGAAAGGTTATGAATAGTCTTTTATATGTATTTGTTGTTTTAAAAACACTGGAAAGAAAGAAAAAAAGAGGTTCTGGAATCCCAATCCCCAAAAGTAGCCAGAGAGGTGCAATTGTGAGTAATCTCAGTGGAGCTCCCGTGAGATAATACAGACTTGGACTCTCCATGGAAATAGCTTTTTTTTCTCAGGATCATTCTTTAGATATTGCATCAGGGCTTCGCATTCATGCCCAGCAGAATCACCACAGATTATACAAAACTTCAAGGGAAAGGAAATTCAATTATTTTGCCCCCTATATTGCAGCTAAATATTCTCTGGAAACTTCTTCTAAAGTGTCTAGACTTAAGGATCAAGAAAGACTGTAGTTACAATTATAGTTTTGTTATAAAGAATACAGATCAGGACCAGCCAAGTGAAGAAACACATAGGCAAGGTCTGAGGGCATCCCAAATACAGAGCTTCTGTGCCCTCTCCTAGTGAAATTAGGGCACATCACCTACCCAGATATATTCAACAACCAGGAAGCTCTGCTGCGCTTTGGTGCCCAGAGTTTTTAATGGGGTTTCATTAAGTAGGCATAATTGATTGAATCATTGGCCATGTAATTGAGCTCAGTCTCTAGCCCCCTTCCCTTCTTTGGACAATGGGCTGATATCACATTGCTCAAAAATCTAACCCTCTGACCACATGATTGATGTTTCTGTCATGACCAGCCCCATCTTGAAGCTCTAGGGGCCACCATAGGTCACTGCAATAGCATAAACTCAGGCGTGATCCAAGGGGCTCATGAATAACAAAGATACTCCTATCTTTGGGAAATTCCAAGCGTTGCAGAATAGACATGCCTGGAACCTGGGACAGAGATCAGACAAGTTCATGATTATACAACCGATGTTTATTTAGCTCATCTTTTAAATTTTTTTTTACATTCTTTTTTTTGTTTTGTTTACAGGACATTGTTTATCTCTTTAAAAATTTATTTTTAAATTACAGTTGATACAATATTACATTAGCTTTAGGTGTACAACATAGTGATTAGACATTTATATACCTTATAAATTGATCACCCCAATAAATCTAGTACTCATCTGACACCATACATAACTATTACAATATTATTGACTCTATTCCCTATGCTGTACTTTACATCTCTGTGACTATTTTCTCTCTCTCTCTTTATTTCTTAATTACAGTTGACATTCAATATTAATTTCAGGTGTACGGTATAGTGGTTAGACATTTATATAATTTATGAAGTGATCCCTCCTATAAGTCTAGTACCCACCTGACACCATACACAGTTATTACAATATTATTGAGTATATTTTCTGTGCTTTCATTTACGTATCTGTGGCTGTTTTGTTACTACCAATTTGTACTTCTTAATTCCTTCACTTTTTTACCCAGCTCCCTAACCCCCCTCCCATCTGGCAACCATCAGTTTGTTCTATCTGTGAGTCTGTTTCTGTTTTGTTTGTTTATTTTATTCTTTAGATTCTACATGTAAGTGAAATCATTTGTCTTTCTCTGTGTGACTTATTGCACTTAGCATAATACCCTGTAGGTTCATCCTTGTTGCAAATGGTAAGATTTCGTTCTTTTTCCTGTTTTGTCCATTTTTAAATTGGACTCTTTATTTTCTTATTGTGTTTTAAGACTACTTTGTATACTGTACACACACACACACACACACACACAAATTTTTTTTATTGATTTCAGAGAGTGGAAGGGAGAAGGAGAGAGAGAGAGAAACATCAATGATGAGAGTCATTGATCGGCTGCCTCCTGCACGATCCCCATGGTGGGGATCATGCCTGCAACCTGGGCATGTGCCCGGACCAGGAATGTAACAATGATCTCCTGGATCATAGGTTGATGCTCAGCGCCTGCTGGGTTACTTTGATACAAGTCTTTCTGTGTTTAGTGAATATTTTCTCCAAGTATTTGGCTTATCTTTTCATTCTCTTAACAATGACTTTTGCAGAGCATGACTTATCAGTGTTTTTTCTTTAATGGATTATACTTTTGGTATTGCATGTAAAAATTCACCACCATATCAAGGTCACCTAGATTTTCTCCTGTGTTTTCTTCTACAAGTTTCAGAGTTTTAGACCTATCATCCATTTTGAGTTAATTCTTATGAAAGGTATAAGGTCTGTGTCTAGGTTAATGCCTTTGCACATACACGTCCAGTTGTTCTCTTACCACTTGTTGAATAGACTGTCCTTTCTCCACTGCATTGCCTTAGCTCTTTTGTTAAAAAGAGCAGTTGATTATCTTAGTATGGTTTTGTCTAAGAGCTTTGTATACTGTTCCATTGATCAGTGTGTTCTTTCACCAGTACCATGCTGTCATGATTTCTGCAGTTTTATAAGTCTTGAAATTGGGTAGTGTAAGTCTTCCAACTTTGTTCTTTAGTGTGCATTGGCTATTATAGGTTTTTGCCTTTGCATGTTAATTTTAGAATCAGTTTATTGTACCTATAAAATAATTTACTGGGATTTAAATTGGGATTGCATTGAATCTATAGATCAAGTTGGGAGGAATTGATACCTTAATGTTAAGACTTTTGAAAAATTGAGAGAGAGAGAAAAACATCGATTTGTTGTTCCACTTATTTATGCATTCATTGGTTGATTGTTATGTGTGCCCTCACCAGGGATCAAACGGCAACCCTGGTGCGTCAGGATGACTCTCCAACCAACTGAACTATCTGGCCGGGGCCTTAATATTGAGACTTTAATTCCATGTGCTTGGCATATCTCTCCATTATTTATATCTTTTTAAAAATTTCTTTCTTGAGGCCCTGGCTGAGTAGCTCAGTTGGTTAGAGTGTCATCTTAATACACCAAGGTTGCGGGTTCGATTGCCAGTCAGGGCACATACAAGAATCAACCAATGAATGCGTAAGTGGAAATTGATATTTCTCTTCTCTCTCTCTCCCCCTTCCCCACTCTCTCAAAAAGAAAAAAAAAAAAATCAATAAATTAAATAAATAAAATTTCTTTCTTGAGTGTCTTGCAGTTTTTACATATAGATATAGATATAGATCCTGTACATATTTTGTTAGATTTATACCAAAGTATTTCATCTGAGGGGTTATTGTTTACTCCTGGTATATAGGAAAGCAGCTGACTTTTGTATATTAACCTTGCATCCTGAGACCTTGCTATCCTGACATAATAGTTCCAGGAGATTTTCTGTTGATTGTTTGGGATTTTCCACATAGGCATTCATGTCATCTGTGAACAAAAATAGTTTTATTTCCTCCTTTCTCATCTGTGTACCTTTTATTTCCTTTCCTTTTCTTACTGCATTAGCTAGGACTTGCATTGTGACAGAAGAGGAGTAGTGAGAATGGACATCTTTTCCTTGCTCCTGATCTTAGAGAGAAAACATCTGGCTTCTTATCACAAGTGTGATGTTAGCTATAGTTTTTTAGATGTTCTTTAACAGGTTGAGGAACTTCCTCTCCCTAGTTTGTTGAGTGTGTTTTTAATAATGAATGGTGTTGGACTTCATCAGATACTTTATTTTTCTTCCTTAGCTTTCTTCTTTTCAAATATTGAACCAGCTCTGCATACTTAGAATAAATCTCACTTGATTGTGGTATATAATTATTTTTATACACTGTCAAATTTGATTGCCAGTATCTTGTTGAGGATTTTTGCATCTATGCTCATGAAATACAGTGGTCTTTAGGTTTTCCTTTCTTGTAATGTCTTTATCTGGTTTTGGTTTTAGAGTAATGTTGGCCTCATAGGAAATGTTCCCTCTACTTCTGTTTTTTTGGAAGAGATTGTGGAAAATTGGCATAATTTCTTAAATGTTTGGCAGAAGTCACCAGTGAAATTGTCTGGTCCTGGTGCATTCATTTCTGGGAGGTTATCACTTATTAATTCAATTTCTCTAATAAATATGATGTAGTAGGCAGTTAGACAGACATGAGCAGAGTAGGAACGATAGGCTAGGTACAGAAGGTCACCAGGGCAGAAAGCTCCGGGTGCCTAGCAATGGGGAAAACAAGTATTATAGGGTGGGACCTCTCCCCCAGGGTGACCGAATTTCCTCCCCTAGCATATCACTGGTCTTGCAGTTTGGACCCCCTGACCTTTCATATTGCAGGTCATGTGGTTTGGAACCTCCCCTGACCTTTCCTCCCCTGGCATGTCTCTAGTCATGTGGCAGACCCCCTTAGAGGAGGAACAAGGGAGTGGGAGAATAGCTTCATAGAACTCCCATACAGGCCCTTGCACAACCCCACTCTTGAGCATCAAGCCCTCAGGATAATGAGGTTCTGACGTGCAACATCAGGAACAAAGTCACGGGTTTGTTGACTACAGACATAGAGTTTTGGTCAAATTAGAGATAATATCTAGGCCTTAGTTGTATTCAGCTCCACGCCCAGAAAAGCAGCAAAACCATGTAGTGGCTGACATCAGGATCAGCTGCAATGACTAATGACCCTCTACCCTAGTGCTGATCAATTAGTGGAGACCACAGCCCTGAAAGGACACACCTGTAGAGCTGATGAATCTTCTACTGAGATCCTCCCCTGAGACCTCCGCTAAGATTCTTGCCTTTAGGAAACACATAAAAACCCATAAGACAAAGGACCCAGTTTGCACCGTCTCTTGAGCAGGCCTGCGCCTTTCCCCACCCCCATCTTCCCTCAAGAATACCTTTGCTTTCTGTCACCTAAGCTCTTCGGGCCCTTCTTTTGCCTCTGTAACTTGTTTCCTGAGTCTGCGCAGCCCAGCTGGCTCCCTTCTATAGGTCACTTCTACCTCTGTGACTTTCTAAATAAACTTCTGCTTGTATTTGAGTTCTTGGCTCTGAGTTCTTTCTTAGCCAAACTCAAGGACCAACAGCTAACATCTGGTGCCATTCACCGTTCAATATAGGCCTACTAAGATGATCTGTTTCTCCTTGTGTGAGTTTTGGTAGTTTGCGTCTTTCAAGGAAGTAGTCATTTTCATCTAAGTTATCAAATTTGCAGACATAGAGTCGTTGAAAGTATTCCTTTATTGTCTTTAAAAAGAAATCTTTATTGATTTCAGAGAGAGGAAGGGGGAGAGAGAGAGAGACATCAATGATGAGAGAGTCGTCATTGATCCATAGCCTCCGGGAATCGAACTGCAGTCTCCTGGATCCTAGGTAGATGCTCAACCCCTGAGCCACGCCTGGCCAGGCTTTTATTATCTTTTTAATGTCCATGGGATCAGTAGTGATGACTCCTCTTCCATAAATTATGTTAGTAATTTGTACCTTCTCTTTTTCTTTGTTAGTCTGGCTAGAGGTTTATCGATTTTATTGCTCTTTTGAAGAACCAACTTTTGGTTTTGTTGATTTTTCTATATTATTTTCTAGTTGTAACAGTCTGGATTTGCTTTCCTGCTTATCTTGGATCATTGATTTGCTGGGTTCTCCTCTCACGCATTTTGTATTTCGCTTTCTGTGGTCGCCAGTCAGAGCTGAGGGGACAAACCTATGACCTGTGGGGTGTGACAGACTCAGTGCTGGATGGTGGAGGTGCTGTAACTGACCTTTGGTCTCTTCATTGTTATTTCTTTTTCTCATCATTGTTCTCTGTTTAGCATAGTTTTGCAAGCAAATTGTGTCATATATTTTTTTGTCAGTGGTATTCTTTAAAATAGTTAGGTGACCCCTCAGTGTCACATTCCCGTGATCCTAGTATTGATTGATCTAGAGAGGTATATTAGGAAAGTGGCTCCTTTCTTAGTAGAAGGTTTTGAATCAGAATTTTTATGAGGAACCTTCGAAATTATCTGGTCTAAGCTTCTTGCTTTATAAATGAAGAAATTTAGGCCCAGAGAAGTAAGCTAAATTTGTAAGATTGCACAACTGATTATAGGTAGGGAGATCTTGCGATTCGTAGCCTCTTTTTCATCTTGCTTCCTTTTTGTCCTGTTAGGCTCATCATCCCTCAATCCTGCATTTCCCCAGCTCTAAAAGGTCACTGCTCCTTAATTCCTTTTTGGTACTCTTACAATTTTAGTATATATAAAACATTGAGTTTCTCGGGCGAGTCTGTATTACCTCAAAACTTTTTGGGGGATAATACAGAAAGTTGCCAAAAAAAAAGTAATAAAGTAATTTTAAATGATTTGGTGATTTTAGTTACTGGAATCTGAAATTGAGGCAAGAATAAAAAACACATTTAGTTACCAGAATGTGACTTTGGAATATTATTTTGGAAATGATTATGCTAAACCAAATAAACCTTGGAGAATCAGTCAATTTCTAATTTAATTTCTACCTTTACCATTAGCCAAGATTAATGTGGTTCCTTTTAATGAACCACACTTACGGTATGCAATGCTTATATTGGCTGTGTGTTTCTGTTTCAGACAGAACCAAGTTGTATTGTTAGACACACTGGAACAAGAGATTTCAAAATTTAAAGAATGTCATTCTATGTTGGATATTAATGCTTTGGTAAGTATGATTTAATTGACATGGCATAATGACATCTTATTTTAGAAATAGATAGGTTTATCCTACCAGCTTTGTACTTGTGTATGTTTGGGATATTTCCCTCTACTTTTTTAAAGGTTTGAATTTGTCTTTTAATAGGAAACTTTGATTTACTTTACTGGACCTTCCCTTGTCTTGAATTGTTATCTTTCAAATGTTGAACTTGTGATAGGAAATAGAACTTATTTATGAACGTCTGGAAAAGATCTTTATTTTTGTAAAAGAGAACTGAAAGTAAGAAACTTTTGGGATACTGTTTTTCCCCTTAAGGAAGGTACATCTCTTTTGATCAAATACATGGTTTTTAAAATTCTTATTTTATTAATTGTATGGCATTTTCATAACGTTACACCAGATTAATGCTGAAACAGACCCTTTGGAGTTCCTTTATGGACCCTTTAAAGTTTTCAGTGTAAATGACAGTAGTTGAATTTCATCAGAAGCTCTATAGCTTTTTGATGAGAAGGAACTGATACTCTTTATTTTAAGAAACTAGAATTGACAAAAATAAGGAACTTAGGACTACCTTTCTCTTCACCATAAACATTACAAATAGCTTGGTTTGCGTGATTTTCTGGACTTTCACATGTACCTCAGTAAATGGACTTTTCATTGGACAAGTGTGGCTTACTAGTGTTTTCCTTTTATAACAATCAAAAAGAAAGTCCATCTTCTCTAGCATTAGGCAGAGGCCTGTAGTAGTAAATACAAAGGCTTCTGCGCTGTAGTTCCTCACTTCTGTTGAAGGAGGTGAGCAAAGCTATACTGACTTAGTCATATTTGTTGAATGAATGCATGGTAAATGAACCAGGCAGGTGTAATACTGTTGCTTCTGTCTGAAGGGACAGAAACTAAGCCTTCCTCTTTTGCTTGTCTCAGCCCCAGAGTGGTTCTGATTATCACTTAGAAACTGAAAACTGGAAGGTCTAGAGAGAGAGGGCCTGTAAGCTCTAGAGCTCACCAAACTATGACTTTATGTGTAGCTGCATGAAGGCTGCTATTCTCTCTACTGACACGTCTCTCATTTTTGTCAACCTGGTCTTCTCTGTTACCTTGCCTGAGCACAAGGTGCTTTTTTTCCTTTTCTGCCCTCTCTGGCTGGCATGGAAAGTCTACACCTCTAACTCCTTGGGAAGACAAGTGTCTTTACAGAGGTTATTCTGCTTGGTCTGACTTCAGAGCCCACAGCCTTCTCAGGGCTCTCTGGATACAGTTTGTCTTTTCCTGATGGGAAGACACTTAAACTATCCTATGTGTCCTGGCTTGGTCTCTCCCTTGTAATGGCAGTAGAGAGTGTTTTGCTTTTCTCAAGTGAAACTGATTGCATTATTGGGTAGTCTTACCAGAATTTTAGGATTATATTGCATGTTTTTAAAGCAGAGTGTTATCTGTGTACAATGTAAATGTCTATTTTATGTTTAGTAACTTTTTTATCAATCTGAACTGAATCAGGTGTTTTCAAAATCCTACTTATGGTTTAAATAAAATTTAAATTTGGGAATTAAATTGTAGAGGCAATTAAGGCTTTAAAAAACTTGACTAATTTAGGAAGAATGAACTGTAATGTTCAGTTTATTTTCACTTCACTGTTCATTTACTTTTCCATGTCAAGTTCGCAGAAGCTAAACACTATCATGCCAAGTTGGTGAACATAAGAAAAGAAATGTTGATGCTTCACGAAAAGACATCAAAATTAAAAGTGAGTTGGCAAGTTCTTTTACATCCTTTATAAAAGTAGAGGTTTGTCTATTTTCTTCAGTATTCATTTTCTGACTTCTTATCTATCCATATATAATAATATACTCAATTCATGGTACATTGTTTTCTTTTTTATTGTTTTATTTTAAAACATCCTTTTGAACCCCACTTTGGACTTTTTTACTAAATAGTTTGGGCTAGTAGCTCATATGCTCTGAATATGTCACTGCAATTCTCATTTAATAGAGTAACAATTTTTTCTTTGTTCCAAGGAGACCTTAAATTACCCAGAATGAATATAAAAGTTAAATATGAAATTCATTAGTATGTATCGATCACCTCAAATCAAAGCACTGTTGCCTTTAAACTGTAAGCCTTGATTGTTCTCTTGGTTTTTGCATTTGTGGCCTAGAAAAGAGCACTTAAACTGCAGCAGAAGAGGCAAAAAGAAGAGCTGGAAAGGGAGCAGCAGCGAGAGAAGGAATTTGAAAGAGAAAAGCAGCTGACTGCCAAACCGGCGAAAAGGACATGAACAGTTGAATGTGTCTGTGTGTTCTTCCTTCCCCTGTTCCCACGTTCTCTGGATTTAGGACGACTTAAGTGTAGACTGAAGTTAAGGTAGTGCCTTATACCATTGTGTCCTGATTTGAAATCCTTACCCCAGGAGTGCTGTCTCTATGTTCATTTTAGCCATTTAAGAAGGTTTTTTTTGCCCCCCCTAAGTAAAAGACAAAATGGTACTTGGTTGGATATTTATGGGTAATTTTTCAACTTCTGTTTTCCTTAATTTAGAAATTCATTATTTTGACCTTGAATCATTTATGAACTGAAAAATGGTTTGATGGTTTTTAATAGTCTGGACTTTAGTGGTTAAAATTAGTATTGGTGTTTTAGCTTCTTAATAACTGTGGATTTAAGTTCAGTTTCTTATTTTATGAAATGACTTGCCTCTTTTGGAAGACAATGCTGGTGTTTGGCCATTGCCTTTTCATTGCTTGGTTAAGAAGAAATGCCACCTGTTTAATCTGGAAAAGAGGTGGCATAAGCCTTTGTGAAGAACATGACAGAAAGGTGTGTACACAGTAAATAATAGCATCTTAGATACAGGCGAGTGATTAAGATGCCAGGTAGATTTCACTAACCATGCGCTCTGTCTGCTTCCTAGCGCTGTTGCTATTTAGTTCTTATGTAGCTTCTGGGTTCACAGTAGATTGTACTTATTCCTAAAGTTTGGCAGGGGTGGTGGTAGAGCTGCCACACACTCAAATATGCTTAAATATTTATAATACTTAGTAAGAGTAGTCGCACTCTGAGGTACAGTTGCCAAGCTGATAAGATAGCTCAACTTTCCATATGGAAGGTCTAATCACTAGTTCTATCTTCTGATTTGCTGTGTGGTCCTACATGTGGTTACCTTTTTTATGCTTTTAAAAAATTCTTAAAGTAAAATGATGGATAACTATCAATTTTATAGATAATGACAAGAATTGTGGAAAATTGGTAAATAGCTTCTTCACAAAAGAGACAGCATGATACTGTTAGTGTTTTCTAAATGTCCTTCCCCCAGTACTATAAGTAGAAACTTATGTGAGGAAAATGTGAAGTTTCATTGCTTAAAATTGAGAGTATATTATTTACTGTTTTAGTATTCTTTAATATCCAGCTGGTCTCCAGTCTGTTACACAGAGACTATACAGAATCTGTAAAGGTGTGTGATTAGAATGTATATCTTTTATAATCTACATTACATTTTTGATAAGCCGGAATCAATACCTCTGGTCATATATCAGGATAATTAATGATGGAGAAGGCATTAGATTTAAGTTGCGGGCTAAGAACTTGTCCTTTTAAAGGTTTAAATAGTTTGTTTGAAGGCCTTTTCCTTCTTTAATGAATGAATGACCATCTCACAGATCACTTGACTTTGACCTTATGTTTAAGAATACATTTTATTTTAAAACGCTACCAGTTGCCCTCAAATACTAGCTAAAACTGCCTAGGGCAGGATTCATTAGTGCTCACAGGACAGTGTTGCTTGGATTGCTGAATGTACTCATTTATAATCTGACAAAGCTGTGCATTTTTTCTCAGAGTGGCTTGTGGACCAGCTGCAATGATTATTTAAATGCTGGTTCCTGCACCACTGTCAATCAAAAATAGTTTCCTCAAGTGATTCCATGCACCTTAAAAGTTGAGAACCACTGGCCTAGCGGTCTAGGTCAGAGGCTCCCACACTTGACTGCATATCATCATTCACCTGGGAAAGAAACACCCAACATTCAGGAAGATTCTTACTCATTAGTTCTAAGGCGGAGCCCATGCAAATTTTAAAGAGTTCTTCATACTGATCTACTTTTTTAGTGATTCATATTTATAAAGAGTGACGTAGTTTAAAAATCCCACCCAGTAACTTGTGGGATTAACCTTATGAATAAATTCTGAACTGCTGCTTTTGATATAAAGTTAGGTTTAAGACTGAAGGAGACAGGCAGGAAATAAAGAAATCTGGTTAATTAATTGAACTTTTGTGACCTGTATTAAAATAAATCATGTTTATTGAATGAATGACAAGGCGCATATGCTTTTAGAATTGTATTCTTAAACTTTTGAAGATTTTAAAAAATGCAATTTTAAAAAATAGCATCTACTATATTTAGGTCAATTGTAAATCAGAAGTACTGTTACCTGGGTAATTAAAATGGAAAACTTTAGCTGTATTTCAGTAGCACAGAAACATATCTTACTGACTAAACCTGAACAGAACCCTCTTGCAGTATTTTTGCACAAATAATGAATTGGTACTTGGGTTGAAAAAAATTGCCTTTGTTTTTTTGGTTGAAAAATATTGCCTTTGTTTTGAAACTGTTTCCCATGTACTGAACTGAGATGATGGGAGTTGATTTTGGGTTTACTGTGGAGGAGGCGTCATGCAGATGTGCATGTGTGGACTGTAACATGGGTTGTGTCCTCAGTGAGTTTTTGGGTGGATACAGTTTATAAATGTGACAGTTATACACCCTCATGCATTTGTCTGATTTTGAGCTTGTAAAATGAGGTCTACTTTTTACGCATTTAATTATAAAAAGCCTCTGAATTATCCAGTGTCTTTGCTCAAGCACTAGTGTGTACACAGCACTATATACTTTCCTTTATGGACATTACTTCGACCATTTCACTCTTTGCTTTCCTCCCGTCACCTTCCTTTTAATGTTCTCAGAAATTTGTGTCACAGAATGACTAGTTGACTCCTGAAATCTTTTTCAGAAAAGTGGTAGAAAGTGTTGTGAAAAGATTCTAGTTAAAATAACCCAACTTTATAAAGTTTTAATTTGAGAATAAAAATAATAGCTACTACTTTTAGTGGTTTGGTAGAAAGTGCTTCATAAGGATCCCTGCATCTATAGCCTATAGATAATGGAGAATTCCAACTAATAGAATATTTTAGGTAATTTTTTTTTTTTTTAACTTGGGAGTCCATGGACCCCTGAGGAGGGACTTCTGAGGATGGCCTTTGGAGGGGACATGAACTTTCATAAATTTTTCATAGAATTTTGTATATATGTGTTTTCCAGGATTGGGGCTACTTTTTATTAGATTCACACATATATATGATTTTCTCTAAAGCAGTGACTCAGTGATTAAACCTCCAAACTGGACCATGCACATATTTTAAAAAGTTACTTAGTTTCTAAGTTTTCCTATTTGGAGAAGATAGTTTCTGTATTGTATATTTGTTCAGGTATTATTTTTGTCCTGATTGGTCAGATGTTTAAGATTTATTCTGTTGCTAGCTTATTCGTATTGTTTTGGCTCTTTCGTGTGCATGAGGCCATTTGGGTGGGACTAAGTTTATTTTCAGAGCCTATGAGAATGAAGAAGTCAAGGGAGACAGTTATGACTAGTTTAAAAAACATGGGAAACAGAAATTCCAAAGATACACAGTGCAGGCAGGGCAGTCCAAGAGGGGAGAGGTAAAATTTGGGGTGGAATGGGGGTGGCAACTGAGAAAGAGAAAAGGAAAGGCAAGAGTGAAGTAGAAGGGAAAGGTAGTGTATCTTTTGCTTACCACAAATAAGGGAGGTTTATAGGCACGTAAAGAATAATTAATGAAATTCACCTATTTTTAGGATAAGATTGTCCCGTACTGTCACTTCATTCCGGTTTAGATCAGAAATGCATTCCTAATGTGCTTCAGGAGGCCTGCAGTGCTCCAGCCTGGCTAAGGATGGGGCTGAAAATAACTGAGCCCGTGTGGGTGCCGCTCTCCTGGGCTAGGCCTGCTTTCGTTAGGACTTTGGAGAAGACTGTCAAAACTGCAGTGAGCACTGTGCAGGGAGTACTAGGCAACGCAAACATGGACATAGACTTGAAGCTTCCTGGCCTCTGCTTCGATCATCAAGTTTAAAATCTGTAGAGGATATTTGGCCCTAGTAATGTGGTTAGGACTGGACTCTGAAGCCAGACTGCGGGTTTATATTCCTGTGTGACTGGGGCCTTGGACTTGCTTAAACCCTGTGTACTTAGGTTTCCTAAACCATAAAGTTGGGGTAAGTGTTTCTGGCTTCATGAGGTTTTGAGGTGTTATGATAGCCATATAAAAGCCCTTAAAAAACAATAAGAGCTTAAGAAATGTTGGATGTTATACAGCAGCATCCCGAAGCCACATCCACGTGGGGGTGGGTGGGTGCTTATTTTGCCCCTTTGTGCATGTGTGTTTTTCCTCACAGGGTTTCCACTGATTAGGACCCTTTATCCTGTAATGTCTTCCTGTTGGACACGTATGCATTTTTTTACAACTCAGTTGTCACTTAGGTTTTCCAAACCACCTCCCAAAGTTCTTTTTCTTGTGTTCTCATAGTACTTAATACTACGTTTGCCTTAGCATTTACAGTAGTGTGCTCACATGTCTCTCAAGATCAAGCTGTTTCTTAATCATCTTGTTATTCCACAATGCAGCAGTGCCTGGCCTCTTGTTGGTGCGTTAATCAGGGTTCTCCAGAGAAGCAGAACCAGTAGGGTGTGTGTGTGTGTGTGAGAGAGAGGGAGGGAGGGAGGGAGGGAGGGA